GCTCTCCCCCCCCCCCCCCCCCTCCATATACCCAATGTTTTCAGAACTCTATTTTTTTTCAAGAATTTTAATTATTCTTCTAAACGTTCACTCAAAACCCAAAGGAACTAATGTGCTGCATCATTTTTTAAGCAAAAATAACATTGAATTTTGTGCTCCATAACTAAAAAGTAAATATACTTTTTTGGTTAAAAAAGAAAGTACTCTTTCCACAACATGAAAATAAAATATTTTTTCTACATCATGATTTTTTTTTGTTGAAATGAAAGAAATACTTTTTTTACACCATGAAAAGAAAGTACTTTTTTTTTGTTAAAATGAAAAAAAAATACTTTTTTATATCATGAAAAGGAAAATACTCATTTGTTGAAACGAAAAAAAATTATTCTATCTATAACGTAAAAAGAAAGTACCATTAATAATATTTCTATTTAGGATGGGGTTAGGGGCGGGGGTGGTGATTGGGGCGAGAGCGGGGTGGGGGTTGGGGCGGGGGTGGGGATTGGGGCGAGAGTGGGGTGGGGGTTGGGGTGGGTGGGGTGGGTTGGTGGGGATGAGAAATAGGATGGGGAAGGTTAAAAAGGAGTTTTGGAAAATGTTTTCCCTTCTCTTGATAGGGAAAACATTTGGAGCAAAATGAATTCATGAGGAAAATATTTTCTAAAATATTTAAGCCAACCAAACATGAGAAAATTAAAAAATATTTTCCGTTCCTTCGTACCAAATACACCCTTTATAGTAGAGCTTTTTGATGCGATTAAAATTACTCAGATCAATAAATTTCGGATACCAAAAATAGGTGCAAATCATAAGTATATGGTGTTAATTAGTACGAAGCTGTGTGTAACCCAAAATAAAATGGAAGGCCTCCATTATTGATCCCCACCACCCCTCTCCAACATAAATTAGTAAACATCAACAAACAAGATTGAATGCAACATAAAAGAAAGGGATTTCAATTTCAAGTCTAATCATGAATGTTCAGTCCAAATTGTAATCCAAAGAACATTGAAACTGATAATAATATAAAACAATTAAAATAAAAATTGCTTTCATCAGCGAAAACTAGAATTTTTTGGCCAAACGGAGGTATTTAAATTTTAGCACATATCCCTTTCCTTACCATCAACAAACGTGTGGACCCAAAGATCAATTGGAGAAAAAGAACAACGATGATGAGGAAGGAACAGTGAGAAATAATTGTCAAAAAATATGAGAAATAATGTTCATCATTAACCAGGGCAAAGCTATAGTATATTCTTTACGGTTTTCAACCATTCCGTAGCTTTTGCTTAGATCCTAAAATATACATAAATATTTAATTTATACTTAATAACTAAGACGAACTATAAATTCAATTATAAGTTCATAACTCATAAACTTCAAAATTCTAATTTCGCCGTCAGTCATAATTTTAAAATAGAGATTAAAGAGTTTTTTGTATATGGCATCCACAACTGGAAAAGTGAATATACATTTTGCTAACATGATGGGGCTTTGGTTGTGCAATAATTCTCTTATCCATCTAACTGGGCAGTGGTCTTCATCCACACGTCACGCACCCTTTCTCTAAAGTCTAAACTAGCCTCCTTATCCTCTCCCACCACGTCATTACCTTCACATTATTCTCTTTCATTTTTACCACTTCTAAAAGAAGAAAATGATCTAAGATTTTTACAGTAATCCAGAGACATGGTAAAAGATTTTTCCATTAATTTCCAGTTAAGAGCTCACAGGCCTTATCTTCCCTTCATCTAGAGTGAAGATAAGATAGCAACTGAATATTTATTTATCCTATGATAAAGGTTTATAATGTCATTAACCGCTCATTACTGTCTTAAAAAATTGGATTGAATGCTCAAATTATTTCATAATAGCTAACACGAAAAATATCAGATCACATCAAGAACACAATCATTGTTGATTGAAGGTGAAGGAGGAAGCATGATTGATTGATATTTACACAAGATGACTCCAATTTTTTTCATTTCTCTTCAGCATTTTTGGCCTACCTGAGAGCCATACGAAAGATGGTAGCAACTACACGTGTTAATGGAGCTGATAACCAATGGTGGAGCCAGGATTTGAAATTTATGTGTTATGAACTTATCATCGAACCCATAGAACGTCTAGGTTATTGGGTTCGCAATTAAATAGTTCTATACATTTAATGAATTTTTTAATACAAATACAAGTAAGCAAAAATTATTGGGTTCGTCCGAACCTGTAAGTAGTACTCTACCTTCGCCCCTGCTGATAGCTCAAATTACAGCGACGAGTAATAACTGATAATTGGCTCATTCCTCTTCTGGAAATGTATATCATTGACGTATAGATGGTAGCAAATTTACAATGTTACTAGTGCAGTATACGTTGAAACTATGATTCCAAATTTCATGCATATTTTCTCTGTGTAAACCTTGGAATGGATCAATGCTACAAAAACTAGCAAGTTTCGTTCTTGATAATTGAAAGTGCTTGGTTAACCCTATTGACAAATTCTAACTTATTCGGCATATTTTGTATTAAAAACTTGCATCCTCAGTTGTTGGTCTCCTCAAGAAATAACGCAAGCTATTTGCAAGAACCTGCAAAGGTTTAAGATTGAAATTTGTCAAATAATTTTCTTCAAGCTACCAAAGTCTAATAACTCAAGTTGCATATTGGTTCCGCTGTAGCGTTAGTTACCTGTTGAAGGGGCTTGATCAGAGCTTTGCCATTGTAGCTGACATGAAATTTTGCCTTAGCTAGCAATCCCTGCACCAAGATAAAGTTTTGACTCATTGCTAAGCTACTGCTGCTGCTACTTATTACTTATTAGTCATTAGTTGGCACAACTACCACCTAAACAGTTTATTAGTAAATGATTTGGAAAACCTCCTGTAGTTTTCTTACCTCAGTATCGAATTCTCCAGATTCAACATCAATGTTTATGTCAGTAATGATCTTGACAAGATCAACTATCAAACCAGGTCTGTCTGCTGTCTCTACACAGAGTAAGCTGCAAAATAGACGCATTTTGCTCTTCACTTCAACTTGTCGCGTAATGGATCACTAAATGTGGTTGAATATTGAGTCCAGCAGTTAATGAATTAGCCTATGCTGATAAAATACCAATAAAAGGATGTATTCGCTACCTGCGTTCAGGACCATCATCATAGACATGGATATGGGTCGCTATGTCCACGTCAATCTGAAAATTTTCACCACAAACAACAAAGTAGTAAGATTTAAGTTACATGGTTGATATGAAAGTTAAGTAAATCAAGCCTTGGTTTCTGTATCAAAGTGTGCTAGAGAGAAAGCTATCAGTCATTACTAGCGATGCAAACACAAACAGGAAGCTAGCACAATCAGAAAATCAACCCCCCCCCTACCCCCCCCCCTCCCCCCCACACACACAAAAAAAAAAAAAAAATTTACACGCACTGACACACACATGATGTACAAAATAACCAATATAGATGTGCATATTCGTGCAAT